CCGAGAGAGAAGAGAGGCAGAGAGGAGAATGAGAGAGGAGGAGAGAGGAGAGGGAGACGCGGAGAGGAGAGAGGGATCGAGGAGAGATAGCGAGGAGAGAGAGGAAAGGACGGGAAAGAGAGAGAAAGGAAAGGGAGAGAAAGGCGATGAGGCGCAGACGAGGGAGAGGAGAGATGAGGTAGAGACAGAGGAGACTGAGGGAGAGATGCGGAGGAGGGAGAGCGAGGCTGTGCCGATAGGAGAGAGAGGAGGGAGAGAGAGAGAGAGACGAGAGAGAGAGAGAGAAGAGAGAGAAGAGAGAGAGGAGAGAGAGCGAGGAGCGAGCGAGCGAGAGCAGGAGAGAGAGAGAGAGAGAGAGAGAGAGAGAGAGAGAGAGAGGGAGGAGAGCGATGCATGAGAGCGATGCAGAGAGAGAGGAGAGGAGAGAGAGAGAGAAGAGAGAAGAGAGAGAGGAGGCGAGAGAGACGAGAGGGGAGATGAGAGGAGAGAGAGAGGAGAGAGAGATGGAGAGAGAGAGTAGAGGTCAGAGAAGAGAGAGTGAGAGAGAGAGAGAAGATTGAGAGAGGAGAGAGCAAGAGATGAGAGAGAGAGAGAGAAAGAGTGCGAGAGAGAGAGAAAGGAGAGAGAGAGAGAGAGAGAGAAGTAGAGAGATAGATGATAGATAGAGAGAGAGAGAGAGAGAGAGAAAGAGAGAGAGATAGATAGATAGATAGAGAACTCTCACTCATGAATGAGGAAGGAAGTTATTTTCTCTGGCTGGACAGAAGTAACGATACAGGGATTACACCGATGTGTTATTCTTGGTATTGCTAAGAACTTATAGAGTTATATATAGAGTATTCGAGTAGTATAGTATATTAGAGTAGTTATTGGTTATAGAGTAATTTCATTAGATAGTTACAGTTAGATAATTATGCATGTAGCTAAATAAATTTAATCTGTTACAAAACATATTGACATCTGTGGAGAAGTCACTCAGATATATCTATAACTACTTAATTTCTATAATTACTTTATCTCAAGCTTGTAATGGTAGTACTAAGGGTACGTACTCCTAACGGTAACACAGTAGATCTACCTGTGTAGCCCTTCGCTCCCAATGCAGGGCTATACGAACAACAGGGATGTGAAGTGGCACTGAATCTTTAGAACATTGCATGCCAAGTGGTTGCTAGTAATACAGTAGAAGGATATGCTAGCCAGGCATCTATAAAGATAACCATTGACTTTAGCCTGCCATTCTCAAATCTGTACTGCGAACGTAGGGCTACGCGGGTAGAAGAATAGCAATTCGTACCAACTGGTCTGTAGATATCAAAATGGTTGTCATGGTAACCAGCAGCTGACCCTTGTATGTGCTGTTCTGGTCGTCTGCTTGAAGTTGAATAAAAACATTGCGCAGAGATCCGACAACTTGCTCCACACTTGGATAAAAGATAAACCAAAAATTTAGTGAGGTGTTTAGTTACATATAAGATAAGACAAATACTATGTAATAAACAGGTGCACATTTCCATACCTTTCATTGTCCTGCAATAATATGTCCGAATGTTCCTGAAGCAAACTCAGGAAGAGCAATTTGCAGGAAACTGTTGCTTCTTCCAGATATAGTCCCTGTGCATGATACAACGGTATTGATAAGTAGGGCTGAGAGGGTCTATGTCCCCCAGGGTACTGTCGGAACGTGTACTATCTAATATGCTGGACCGTACCTCGCCTACTCCACTAACGAGTCTAGGGAGTCGCCTACACCTACTCCCTAACCCTAATCCTAACCCTAACCATTTATATATTATTGCCTGTTGTTCGGGGCACTCTGCTCTCATAGTGTTGCTGAGGGAAGGTATAGTGCCCGAGCGGTAGCAAGGGCACTATTCCTTCCCAAAGCAACACTATGACAGCATAGTGCCCCCAACAACAGGCAATAATGTTTTTAGTGCATCACATGACTTTGCAATCTACTCGGCAAATATGAAGTGAATAAGACAAAGTTTCTTAAACGAATAATGACTGGCGATGACTCAGGAAAACTGCTACAGGTAGGGGAAATAACTGCGTCGCGCAAGCAATAGTGCCCGCTCGGGCACCATTGTTTCATAGTATACCTGCGACGTTATCCAATGGAATTTCTCATTCTTCCATTGGATTTATCATGTGATGCACTAAATATCATATAGTGACTAGGGTACGTTCCGGTATAATACCGGACCGTACCCAGGGTACGTTCCGGCAGTACCCTGGGGGACATAAACCCTACGAGCATAAGTAGGCTAAGCAATGCAATTTTTCCAACGCAGCGCGTCTAGACTACACACGTACAGCAACATGTGCGGCGCGTTTGCACTATATCGACCGTGAGTCAGACAACCTTTCAACTTGATCGTAGGCGTGGTAGGCCGTTGCATGTACGCATTCTTGCATGTAGGAATTGAAATTCGCGCCAGGCATATAGCACATCTAGTATGGGGTCAAAATACCCAATTAAATGCACCTTGCGCGATAATATATATGACTATAATATCGAAAAAGGGAATATAAGGTGTCAATTTTGTATGATTGTAAATAAAATCGACACCTCATTCTATTTTTTATATTATAACTTTCTATATTTACATGGGGGAGCATGTGTTTTTACTTCTACATACACACACATACACGCCAACCCTACCGCTTTACGCGGTAGACTACCGCTTTTTGAAGACTTCTACCGCCTACCGCTTTTAATACTATTCCTACCGCATTGCAAAATATTTTGAAAAATTATTATTATTTATTTTTTTTCATTTTATCTCTAATAAATGTATGTAATGTATCTCTAATGTATTCTATTGCAGTCCAATTACTCCCCA